GCCGGGCGATTATCTGATGACGCAATGAGGGTGGAGTAGTAATTAGACCTCGCCACCCTCATCGCCACTAGGTAGGATCTAACCTGCATCCTTGCCTGTGCTCGATCGGATTCGGTTCGGCTAGCTCTCCAACTGCTCTCTAGGCGTCTTTTCCGGTGCTTCATCTCTCTTAGCTCCTCGGTAAACCAGGGAGCCAGTTTTAGCTAGAGGCAAGCCTTAATTCTGCAATCTAGCTCAACATCAATGTATTAGGTTAAAAAAATGTCATATATCAAAGTACAACCTTAAAATGAACCATAGTAGAATGATAGAAATATTTCTAGAAACTAGACTAGATCATTAACTGGATGTTACTTTCTAAACCTCTCTGGATCAGAGAGATGTGAAAGCCCATTTAAGGCTTCAGTGGGGTGAACTTTCTCTCACCCACACTCTGATTTACACCTAGTATAATCCGCTTTTGGAGGAGACTGAAGTTGGAGTAAATTGCTTGATAGAGTGATTCCTTTTCAAAGGCCTGGCACAAATCAGTTCTAATGAACATAAAGACTTTAGCTTCAGTGCAGATGTAGCACCTTTAAACCCCTTCTTCATTTTGGATTTGAAATGCACATGTATACATTATTGATACAGAGGAAATGGCTTCTTCTAGTAAAAGCATTAATGGGAATAATGAGTGCTCTTACAGCACATCCTGTCTCTCTTATTTGTATGCTCTATATAATGCCAGGGTAGTTAAGAGACAGCAGGATGATGAATGGGGAAGAAGATTGAAAAAGATGGGGGAGGGGAGAAATAGGAAAAGAAAGCACTTCTTTAGACCATCTTCCTATAGTAGTTATGTTGAAATAGTCGACAAAGTGTCCATAAGTAGCACTTTGTTTCCTCTGACAACTTCCATGATGCTGTAATACCCTCAGCTATTAAAAAAAAATCCTTTAATTGCAAAAAAAAATAAATAGAAACTGGGTGTATATTTGTTTATCTGTTTGTTAAATTTATTGGCTGCCCACTTTTTTGGAAGAATAGTCCACTGTTCCACAGAAAGTCTCATGCTGATTGAGGTAGACAAAGAAAATCCAGCATGAGGTAGAAGATACAGAGATTGGAGAAGTTTCCTCTTCAGAAATCACAGAAATCATATTTCTGTGATTGCGTATGCCCAGATGGAAACCATTTGTATGTACACTCATGACATGTTCTCATATGAATGAACCTATCAGCTAAATAGATTGCTGATCCTTAACAGTGGCATACCTAGCACATTTGACACCAGTGGCCACCTCCACTCGCTGAACAGCACCACAAGAGCCTGGAACCACAGTCCTCTTCATCTCCATCACTGTGCCACCTAGCAAACCAGCTGATTAGCTAACTGACTCAACATCACACATGCCATCCACCCTCCAGTTTGCTTCCTTGTCTTCAGTAGCACCTCTCTATTACCTGGTCCCAACCACCCTGCTCTTGGAATGCTACTCCCCTTAAAAAATTGCATTATAAAAGTCTCCAGTTTTGTAGATTAAACAATAGTTGACAATCTTGTTATGGTGACATTCCATGAACTGGTGCAATCATTAATGTTCTGCTCCAGTTCATCTCCCACTCAGTTTAACAAGGCTGCAGAACAACTCCTGCTAGTTTAGTATCCAAAACAGAGAATATCGTCACTCTTATGTTGAAACTAATCTGTTGAAACTAATACTGTGGACCAGTATTGGGCCGTGGCGTGCCAGCAACAGGGCTGCACAAACAAGCAAAGCCCCATCCGCAAGATGCAGGCAGCACACAAAACCACGCACCCTCCGGACCATGGAAAAACCTCTCTCCACCGAACTGGTCCCCAGTGCCCAAAAGGTTGGGGACCTCTGTTCTAAGGTCCCTAAGTTCATGCTCCTGGGTTGGGTGGGGAAGATTGTGATCTGTGACCTGTGACCAGTTTTGTAGGCCATAAGTTCATCCCTGATGGACAGCTTTAAGACTTCAGATTTCCTTTCTTTGCCTTGGACTGGTGAGCCTTTGATAACTAGGACATAAAACCATCCCAAGCACAGTTATTTTTCATGGTAAAATTCAACAGCAGATGGAATTTGGGGTGTCCCTTATAATCTATAGTCCCCAATTTAGGACCACCTCCTTTACCAGGACATTTATATCCTGCTTATCATAGGGGGAAGCAAGGCAATATAACTGAGTTCTGTAATATAAGATAACCCGAGAAGTTACAAATGGCTTAAAATCACATTGTGAATGGGAATTTGAACTTGTGTCTTCCTAATCTCAGTTCAACAATTTAGTTACGATCTTAAACTACTCCAACACACACAGACACTATACACACTACATTATTCTATCTCATTCAACACAATAGACCAGACATGTCAAACTCGCGACGTCACGTGACGTCGTGCGACGTATCGGGACTATTTTGCCATTGCTGGCAATGGGGTGGGCAGAGCTTCCACATGACGTGTCCAGCCCATGGGCCGGCAGTTTGACACCCCTGCAATAGACAATTAAAAGGATGTTAGGCCAGATATTAAGGTATTATGCACAGCATCTCAAACTTTTATGTTTACAGATAATTTCCCAAGCATTATCTTTTCTTGTACAGAAAGGATTTTTTAAAAAAATATTCTACTCTCTACCTGTACCCCTTTCCTAAGAATTACAGTAAAATCACACTGTCCTTTTGAAAATGTCATTTACACCTGGTTTTAGTCGCTGATTGTAATTAAAGGTTACATTTGGTTTTTCCACAACGTGGAGAAACAAATGCCAAGGCAGTTGTGAAACATTTCACATGGGTGCATATGCTTTAGACCACAAGTAGAAACAAATAATTCGCTGATAACCTTTACAGAGTCTTCCTGTAATTCAGTTTTCCCCTGAATATTAACTAATAGAGTAAATGATCCTTTTTTCTTTCTAAAAAGGTAAAGCCTGAAACCTTCATCTGCGTATCTGTGAGAGAGGTTGTAAAACTGGGTAGATCAGTTTAACTTAACTATAAAATATTGCCTGTCATTATTGAAATGTGGGTATTCTCTTAACTGCAATAGCTTACTATGTTAATATTTGGAAGTGTTTATTCCTATCTGATCCAGTGGTCTTGTCTGTATGTTGATTTTTAATTAAAAAAAAAACAACTATCCTGATTTCCAGAGCTCTTCAATTGCACCCCATTTGTTCTTTTACCTCCTAATGATGTAAATTACTTCAGTCATTGACTCAAGAAACACAAGCCTTACCCTATGATTTAGTACAACACACCCACTGCAAGTAATGAGAGCAGTCAAAGCAAAGCTTATGTAGAACAAATCAACCTCTAGTCTGCAGGCTATTCATTGAAAGCAAAGGGAAGAATTGAGGGGGTGGCGGGAAAGAGAAGGAACCCTGAAGGAAATGCATCACAATTTTACAAACGATTTGGGGAGCCACAAGAAAAGGGGGGAGGGAAGAGGGGGGGAAGTCTACATGTAATTCCAATCAATGGTTGTCTAATCATCATAATCTTCTCATAAGCCAGGACTGCGTTTGCATAACCTTTTCCATTTTGCAGTGAATTTATGCAGCCGCCGTAATTTAGTGTTAAAAAAAAATACAATGTTCAAAACACGTTTAATTAATAATGTGGTGGTTCCCACAACGTGTGAAGAGGAAGCGTCCTTGCCTCATCGAAAGTAATGAATGAATGAAACAGATGAAGAATTAAGCAATTTTGTATTGTGGTTTCTATTTTTGTGACTAGCAAAGTGTTGTTACGAGGTGTTTGGTTTTTTTTTTAAAAAAAGGATGAGAAGCAGAAGATAACCAATGGAAACACAATATTTTTTTAGTAGGATTGTTTCCTATTGAAAGGTCCCTGTAAAAGTCCATAAAACAAAGACGGCCTGAAGGCTATCTCAATACTGCTAATTTGTATTTTTAAATTATTGTACTAGACCTCAAAGCAATGTTTGCTTCCAGGTCCAAATCAAAGTGTTGGTCGTTACCGTTAAAGCTTTTTATGGCATGGGTATCTGAGGAGCCATCTCACCTCAATGAGGTTAGCCCATCCCATTCACTCCACGGAAGAGGCCTATTTGGATCCCATCTGCCAAAGGATTTCAGCTGTAGGGTCCAGGAGAAGAGCCTTTTCTTTCCTGGCCTTTGCAATATGGTGACGTCTGCCCCCAAACTCCTGGTCTCAGAATAACAAAGTTGGAAGGGATCTTTTAGGTCTTCTAGTCCAGGGCTTTTCAACCAGTGATACGGGTACCACCTGTGGTACATTGGCACCTGGCATGTGGTACGCGACCATCCTAGAAAAGTGGTAGCGGGGGAGGGGAATGAGCTGAACCAGTGGAAGCATCACACAAGCCTGAGCGAGAGATGGCTGGAGCTGCAGGGCTGTCAGGGCTCAGCGGAAGCGCCAGGATCAGCGCCAGACTCCAGCTGGAGCTCGGCACTGATCCTGGCGCTTCTGCTGAGCCCAGAAGAAGCGCTGATCAGCTGGAATGTTGCAGCATCTCCAGGGTCTTGTGATTTACATTCATATTTATGACGGTCACACTGTGATTTACATTCATATTTATGACGGTCACACTGTCCCAGGGTCATATGAAGTGACCAAAACCTGCTGCAACCACCCAGCAGACGAGGGAAATAAAAACCAAACACCTCCCACCCCACCCCGGTTGCCAATCCTCAACAGAAAAGCTCACAACAATGAAAACCTCGGACAGGAGGAAGAGCGCCGCCGGGTGGGCAGGCAGGTGTCTTGCTCGGCTGTGCCTTGGGGGGCACTTTTTTCAGTGCCATTGTAACTTCGAACAGTCACTAAGCGAACTGTTGTAAGTCGAGGACTACCTATACTTTATCACTTTTTTTCCCTTTTTTTTGGTCATCAAGTTTTTGACACCTTGCTAGGCGACTGGTGGTACTCGGATATTGCCATATCCTAAAAGTGGTACAATAGATGAAAAGGTTGAAAAGCCTTGGTCCAACCCCCTGCTCAGGCAGGAAACTTCCGGAAAAGCCTTAAAATCTGGTTCTGATGGCTGGCTTGGGGCCCTGATACAGGTGCATTATGATGGGGCCAACTGCCAGGGCTTCTTATTTAATGCTCTTTACACGTCTACTTTATTGAAAAGAAGGACTAGGGGTGACATGATAGCAGTTGAGGGCCTGCCGCAAGGAAGAGGGAATCAATCTATTCTCCAAAGCACCTGAAGGCAGAACAAAAAACAATGGATGGAAACTAATCAAGGAGAGAACCAACCTAGAAGTCAGGAAAAAATTCCTGACAGTGAGAACAATTAATCAGTGGAATGGCTTGCTTCCAGAAGTTGTGAGTACTCCAACACTGGAGATTTTAAAGAACAGTCACTTGTCTGAAATGGTATACGGTCTCCTGCTTGAGCAGGGGTTGGACTAGAAGACCTCCAAGGTCCCTTCCAACTCTGTTATTCTGTAAAAAGAATCAATTGTTTTTAGTGGCAAGATGAGATGTATACCCGGGTCATAGTTCTTTTCCCCACTGAGCTTCACTTTAGTGAAAATTTGCATTTAATTTCATTCATTTATAAATGTTATTTTAACAAGAACAGATACTTGTAAAGATTTTGAGTCAGATTGGGAAGAATTTCCGTATGCAGTAAAAAAGGTAAAGATCTATTATAAAACTTGCAAGAAAACAGACTTGATGAATAATTCTTAAATTGGTAAGAAAGACCACTCTTCTTCTTTTTAATGGAACATTTCAGTAATTCTTTTTAATATACAGCCATTCATCCTCCCGATAATCTAAGAAAAGATGTTATGATGATTGTTACAAGACACCCAGAAATGTGTCAATTATAAGCTCTTGTGGCTGGATTGGCATAGCAACCTCTCATTTAGAAAGCTTTTGCAGGATGCCTTTATATTTGTTATTACAAGAATTATTTGCTATTGTTTCTAAAAACTCCAACTAACAAAAATCTTTGTCAGCTTAAAAAGAAAGTTAAGTAAACTTCAGAGAATTTGAACATTAGCAAAATAAGCAGCAGAGGAGGGGGGGGAAACAATACAAAATGACCCTGAAAATAGATATATATATTTGACTCGATTCTGTGAAGCTTTCTTCTAATTAAGAATGCATAGAATTGCAGCTAAAAGCCTGCAACATCATTAACAAATCAATGAAGTCCAATGATATTTAGGCTCACAGTGCTCAACTATCTAGACACCCAGGCATTTTCAAATAAACACATTACAGGAAGCAATAGTTAATTGTTAACCACAGCACACATTAGGCTGAAATAAACCTCAATATTACAGGCAGTCCTTGACTTATGACCACAACGAAACTCAAAAT